GTGTGCAGTCTCTTTAATTTTGTATTCGGAAGTTGAACTGTTGAGGTGTTTTCACAAGTAAGTTCCACTTATCCCTTTTATTTTAAGTCTTTGAAAAGATATACAGCAGGGTTTAAATGGATTTGCAATCCTTTGAAGCGAGTTAAAATTTGGTTTAGGAGATGCATTATTTTATGAACCGATGAGAACCTCACAACTTTCTGCAGAGAGGTTGAAAGCTGAACGAGGCCAGTCTGGGACTTCAGACGCCCATGAATTAATCAACAGGGTGGTAGGAAAATTCTGTATGTTTGGATTTCTCAGGACGCTTGTGCTGTTTCACAGGCAAAAAGTCTGGTTTGGGCAGGAAAAGAGGGCCTCAAACATCTGAGTTGTTTATTGTATGAGCTGAAGTGCAGGAGACGGAGCTGTGCTGGTTTTGCATACAGAGGACAAGCCTACTGGGTTCAGTCTGCTGTGGCTGGGAGTTGTTGGACTTGCAGTGTGTGCCAGATAACCAGAGCACATGTGTACCAAGCTTGAAATGCCTTGGTTGTCTGTGCAAGTTTGCAGGGGAGTCTTGGAGGCAAGCATGGGAGTGGTAGGTGTTGTCTCGGAGGTCACTGGAAGGACAGCAGTGGGAAACCCGTGTCGATACTGCGTCCTCTTGCATGTTTGGACAGCAGTTTTTCCCCTACTCTGGGGATTTGATCCCAACCTTGTCTGTTATTGCTAAACACTAGCCAAAGGAAGTCTATCACTTACCTCTGTTTGGCTTTTATTGCAGTCATTAATCAATGAAGACCGATGTATTGTGCATGCTGTGTCTGAATACATGTAGCTTAATCTCTCTCTCCTTATCTCTTCCTCTCTCAGTACCAGAAATTGCCCTGGCAAAATGAGCCAGCTTCCTCCGAAGAGTCCTTTGGCATCCCCGGTGTCAGAGGGCAGGAATTCCAGGGTAGAGTCTTCGGACAACTTGTCAATGGACAGTTTTTGGCTGGAAGTAGAGAACATTAAACAGAGCGCTGAAGCCGAGCAAGAGGAATGCAGCCTTGCAGATGTCAAAACACAAGAGGGTAGGTTGCCAAAAATGTTGGGAGTGAGGGGGAGAAGAGGAACATCTTGGAGAGGAAGTTTGCTTATGCACCTGAATGATTTTAGAAGCATGTCAGAATATGGTTAGAACATCACCAGCCAAATCGCAGATGCATACACACACATAGATATTTATTTCATTGGGTGGTGGATAATGCCCTGTGGAAGGGAAGTGCTGGCCTGGCCTGGTTTCATCTTCTGAAGCAAAGCTGACTCCAAAGGTCTGTCAGGAGTATGTTCAAGGTTCCAGATTTTTTGAAGCAGCCCCCATTAAGCATGGGGGTTCTCACTCCCCGCGCAGGTGGCCGTATGGTAAACACACTGTGATAGGTGACGGTATTCAGGAATGCTTGTTTGTGTACGTGGTTCTGAGACTTCATCATAGTGACTCTTATGAGAGCTGCTTTTGTGAAAGGCAGACTTTTCCCCTCCGATTCACTTGTTCAAGAAACCCTAATAAACATCTAGAATGACTTGAATCCACTCACACAAAGTTTTCCTTGTATACCTCCTTTTTTTTCCCCCCTCTTTCTTTCTTGTGAAGACTACTTCATGTGCATGGGGTGTTTCTAATGGGCTTTCTGTAGCGCTGATGTTATCCAGTGTTTTGGAGTAACTGGAACCTGGACCAGTTGCCTTTTGGCATGGGAGGTACCACATACTGCGGTGCTGGAGCGATGATAAACTGCGCTAAGTGCCCAGTGATCCCACAGATCAGGATTATGCATTTCCTGGGTTCTTTCTGCAAGAATGTAATTGAGTTGGTTGTACATCCTCTCGAATGGTCAGGTTTGCAGCTCATGCAACCCACAGCTGTTGTGCTGGGCTGACATAGAGGGATCCATGTATGTAACGGGGAAACATTTGAGTGAAAGTCCCAGTGTGCTGCCGAGCTTGGGAAGGGTATAGAGCTGTCCTGGGTGCGAAGAGGAGAGCTCACCTCTGGAGAACAGAGTGGGGAGGTCATCATCTGTGTCTACCATAGTAGGCAGGACACAGTAAACATTCAGGTCTGCTGTTAGTGTCCCTGCATAAAGGATGTAAGTTAGTGTTTTTGAACTGGAAGAGGTGCAAAAGTGACTCAGAAAATGAGTGTGCTGGGAGGGAGACTGTGGAAAAAAGGCCGTGCCATGAGATGAAAGGCTGTCTGGGCCATCCGAAAGACTGATATGCTGGAGTCAATTCGATTACTGTGTGTGAGCAGGGACACAAGCAAAAGTGTTTTTAATTCTGTATATTAATCTAGCAGGCAAGAGCTGACTGCTTACTTGGCCACTGAAACCAGACCGACTTGAAAGGATGCTCCGAGTAGCAAAGCCTTCCCGTGCCTTCTCCAAAGGACCGTAGTCAAATAAGCATTGTGCTGGAAGCGTTAGTGGTGAGATAAAACTTGGGATGGTGTGGGTGCAGGGTTTGGCTGGTGCCTCCTGGCTTTCCTGTCTCTGCAGTTTACGGTCGGAGCACCACAGGGTGACAGTGCAGCACAGAGGCTTCTGGGCTCCTCGGAGCCAGAGGCACCGTCGCTCTTTGAATAAAGCCCAAGAAGCTCTGCTTGGGCAGCGGCTGAGAGCTCCGTCTGGAGATGGCGTGGCTCAACCTGACAGATAGCTGATGGTAATCGCAGCGCAGGGACAGCGTGGAGGCTACCTGAGATAAGACTTGCAAAAACGCTGACCCAGTTGGAGAGCACTGGTCCCCTGTGCAAGGGGTGGTGTCATGGGGAGCTGCTCGTGACTTGGTGTGCGCAGGAGGCCAGCGGGTAACTTCGCAGAAGAACTGGGTCAACTGAAAGGTGCTGATGACACTTGTGGTCTCTGCTGAAAGTAGCTTTTTCCTGAAATACCCACAGCGTTGTCCTTTCCTCGCCGTCTGCTGTTTATCCAGCGCGCTCCAAGGTCGGGTGGTGGGGCAGACTGATAACGTTTGCACTGTGTGGTAGTGCTGCTGAAATACCTGCTGGCATCCTCATAGCACGTAAGCGTGTCTGAGAAGCGTCTGCAGAGTGATCCTTCTCCACCTTCAAAAACTCTATAGGAAGTTGTGCTTAATGTTTGGCCTGCAATTGTAGGGTGCTTAGCTGTCCTTTAACTTTTTGGAAACTAAATGCTTTATTGTGAATGCTATTTTTGGCTAGCTCATGTTTTGAGTAAGTTTTTGGAACTGGTGTTCTTTAGTTTTGCAAAACTATTCTCAATTCTTTTGCCCTGAAATGCTGCTTGTCTGGAACTCACAAAGCAAACCTGAGCAGCTCTCCAGCTTGAAACCTGCAACTCAGCTTCTGTGAACATCTCAGTTCTGACCGGCTTCTCTCCGATTTCCCCCTCTCCCTCTAAATAACTTATTTTACCGGTTTCCTTTTGTGTTACTGGCAAAAATAACGAGGCCAAAAATATTAAATAGAGGAATTAAAATGTGGTGCTTTGGCATCAGATGGGGCAGTCGGCTCGCACGGATGTCCCATCCCTGTTTAGTATCGTGTATTAGATTAGTTTCCTGTTATGACTGGATTTGGGTATTTTCAAAACCTGCAAGCAACACACTCAACTTCCTTTAGTTCCCAAAGACAAAGCAAACCAGAAGTCTTTTGCGTGCTGTGCGGCTGTGAAAGGAGGGGTGTAGGACACATAGCTGTACGGTGAGGAGTCGCGGACGGGACCAGGAGTGCATGAGCAGCTGTAACCAGGCGAGCGGTGCCGGGGGGATGCTCTTACCTGTTGGTAGAACCAGGCATGGGAAAAGACCAAAACTTAAAACCGTGTAGGAACCGGTTGGCTAGAAGATTCGTTAAGGGAAACGCTTTGCTTCAGGTCCAGCTCTGTTTATTGTAGTGTGATGCTGAAAAAAAGTTCCGTTTCATGACAGCACCTCAGAACACAAAATGCGTACTCTGAAGGCTGAAAAGAGTTTTAGTGGAGTCACAATGTGGTTTTGCACGTTGCGTGAGCACAGAAGTTCCCCCAGAAAAATTAAGTTATTTAATCGCTCAAGAAGAACTGCATGGCTTTTGTATTATTGATGCAGCAATAATAAAACCACCTGAGCCGCTGTGGTAATTGAGGAGATACCAGTTTGCATCGAAAGGGAAGACTGGGAATGGAATGTTCTGTTTCAGTCAGTTCAGTTGTGACTTTCCTTTTTCCCAGTATAACCTTGGGCAGAGCTATGCTGGAGCTGCCTGCAGTGAGTGAATGCGGTATGTAGAATTAAAAGATAAAGGCTTCATGGTGTTCACTGTATTAAAGTTGAAACCACCTGCCAGATAATTTCTTTTATCCTTGGATTTCAAGTAGCTGCCTCGCTCAGGGCACTTTCTCACTTGCACAAAGGGCTTATCCCAAGAGGAAAAAATTGTCTTCTGTGTTTGAAGTGCAACTTTATATATATTGAAGAATGAAGTAGAATTGAGGTTGTTTGAGTAATGCTGCTGTACTGTCTTCAGACTGTGTTCTGGAACTGGAATGATCTTTAATTTTAGTGATGTTTTGAATAGGCACAGACGTAAAGTGAATGCAGAGAGTAAGGATAACGTTTTTGCTCGTGTTGAATGACTGTATGGACACCAGTCCACTTAAAAAGGTAAAGACTAGGGGTGGTGCATACAAATAGTTCTGCAAGTGTATTAATATACATTTGAATCTACCAGATCAGTGTCTGGATATTAAAAAAAAAAAAAAGAAGTTGTTGATACATAGGCCTGCATATAGATAGATAAAAATTAAAAGAAATAGCCAAATAATTGGGAAGAGCACAAAAGCCAAATGTGCAGTGTTGTATGTTGTGGCTTCTCACAGACCTTTTGTCCATTCTTAAAGCTGTTGGAGTACCAGGGGTGCTCTGGGGAGGCGCTGCCGTTCGTCCCGAGCTTGCTGTGCAGCATTGCCTATTGTCAGAGCTCCCCTTTGCCCAGGCAGTGCCTGTAAAGGCAGATTTTAGCAAGTGCCTCTGACTGTCCTCCCATGAGCTGTGAAAGCCCCCACTGGGTCCAGTTCCTATCGCAATCCTTGTGCCGAACGCCACACAGTCACACTTGTGCCCCCACTTCTGCCCACCTTCTGATGGAGCCTGAGTTCCTGGCAATACGCATACCTCCGTAGTTTTTTCTTCTCCTTTTTCTCACCTAGGGTGGGGAGAAAGGAGTATTTGAGCAGTTATAGCAGCCTAAAGTGCTGTGTCTCCTCCAAATTCGCCCTTATACCCAGCTGAGTATCTGTGAATAGGACTAAGATCTTGGAGAACAGCCGTGGCTTCCGATCAGAGACGTAGCACCCTTCCAGGGATGTCCCATTGCCACCCAGAAAGGAGATGGCTCAGGCTTCTGATTTTCTGCCTCTGAAGTGTTTCAAGCACTCAAAGTGCTGATATCCTTTCTCTTCTCACTCTTCTTTCTCATCCCTTGCCCCACAGAGGGAGAAGCTGAAGCCGAGTGGCTCCAGGACGCAGGTCTGTCCGACCTCCTCGGGGACCGTGCCTCGGACAACGACAACATCGTGCTGCTCTCCACCCTGACCAAGACCCAGGCTGCCGCCGTGCAGCGGCGCTTGGATACCTACTCCCGGTCTCGGAGGAGGAAGAACAAGCATCCTGTGCGTGATGTCCGAGACATTTTTGGAGTGGTCAACTCCGAGGTATGTTGATTTAGTGGGATCTCCAGAAAGACTTTGTTGCGTTGTGATAGCTGCCTTGGCTTTCTGGCTCTAGGGCTGCTTTCATTTCTGAATGGATGACTTCATCTTTTGAGCTGAGATGAAGCTGAGAATGTAGAAATTCTGCACCCAGGTTGCAGTGTTGAGAAGTTGCTACAAAACCTGCAGATCCATAGTCTGCTTAGAGACTGCTGGAAAACTTCTGTACAGTGCCTGCAGCACTGCAGCCCCGTGGAGCACGGGTATGGTTTGGAGCCCTCTTGTGTTTTCCTTATTCCAGTGACATGTTAAATCATTATTAACCAAAAAAAGAGAGAAATTCTTAAGTTCAGTTCTGATAAACTGGTCTTGTACAGCTGGTAATTGTAGAGAAAGAACAGCCACTGCCTTTTTTTTTGCTAGAGGATACATGACCATTAACTTTTTAGCTGCTTTCTTGCTGTGCTGCTCCTTTTTGGTTATGGCCACAAGGTAGAGTATTCTTATTTTTCCTAGGGGCTGCTGGAAAATATCCCAATCAGGGCTCCTTGTGACTTTCTTTACTCGGCCAAGTGTCTAGTCAGAAGGTATTGAACTTAATCAAGATCTACCTTTTTCAGTAGCATGGGACAGTTCTTGCTGTCTACCAGAACTGGATACTTCTTTTCCTAAGCCTAAGTTCTTTGAAACATCTTTTACTATAATGAGATGTATTATACCCAAATAATCCCTTGAATGCCTTATGGGAATGACACCACCAGTCTGCAACACCACTGGAAACTGCTCTGGTTGTGTTCTTTCTAACTGCCCAGTGTCGAGGTGCAGATTACTTCCCTGCTGTGCATTGCCCTGAGACAAAGTCATGGTTGATTCGTTTTTGTGTAGAGCATTGTTTGCGTTTCTGCACAAATGGGTGGCAAAAACATGACATTTCCAGAAGCAATAATGCTCCAAGCTTGTCTTAAGTGCCTCAACTGAAATTCAGCAAGTTTTTAAACTTACAGATTAAATAGAAACCTGTTTTAGTAAAATAATTTTACTTTCTATTGTATAGGAATGGAGATTTTTGAGTTCTTAATCTTATGTGTCCACGCGCTAGGTTGCTAATATTTGTATTTGGTTATTTGTATTTGATAAGCAACTGAGATAAAATCTGATGTTTTAAAGTGACGTTCTGGTACAATGAAGGCATTTACAAAGATGTTAAAGCTGCCTGGTTAAATTGCCTTGATCGGAAGTGAAACATTTTCGTCATTTATTTGGGCAAGATCACTAGACTGTTTTCCAGTAACTGCTGGAATTATTAGTATTTCCTTTGGCTTAATTATTTTAAAGCTTTGAAGTTGCCTCTCTGATTTACTGTTTTAGTGGAGGGCCCTGAAACAAAAAAATGTTGGTGTTTTTTCCCCCTCTCTTTTTCATAAAAGTAAAAAAATGTATTTTAAATTAATCAGTTTGACTGTTTGTTCCTTCTTTGCTGAGTGGCCATGAGCTTAACCTCTGTATTCCTTGTTTGTCTCTTACAGTGTACACAAGGGCTGTTTTTTTCCCTTTTTATTTCATGGGAAGTGACTGACACAGCTTAGGCAAATTGAGAGTGATTTCTATGTAAATCGAGAAACGTCTGAGATGTTAGGATATGATACTGGATGTAGGCACTTGGCAGAAGAAGTCCTTTACCTTTGAGTAATTCCTGGAGCAATCCCAGAGGGAAGCAGGCTTTTTGCTTGATTTTCCATACTAGTTTGCTGTGTCGTCCCAGTCCAAGCACAATTTTGGGGCCCTGAAGGATGTATTCAGGAAACATATGCCAAAACAGGCCTGGTGTTGCTATAACACTTGTTCAAAGCATGTAGCAAAACGTGATAAATCCTTTATTGCACAAAAGGATATTTGAAATCTTCACTGTGTAAGCAAGGAAACAGAAGTGCAGAAAAAAGTAAAGTTTTTTTTCCCACAGTCTTAGAAACTCCTGATTTGGAGCCCAGATCCGGTCTCTGTGCCTTCACTGCTCAATCAGGCTTTGGATGCTTCCAGCTACTGGCTGCTCTCTCGGTACGCTGGGAGCAGAGCGTTTCAACAGGCTCTCCTGATGGAAAAAAAAACATGTTCAATGTATTGAGCTTAAAGCTAATTCAGTTCAGCTGTGACTTGAGTGGAAGCAGCTCAGGCAGTGATGTGTCAGGGTAATTTGGGTTTTTCTTTCCATCAGTGTTTCAAGATGGATTTGCAGTTTGCCTCCTGTCCACCTCTGGCATGAGCTACTTGGGTATCAAAGCTGCTGGTGTTTCTATCAGAGCCTTCCTACGTACTCTGCCTATGTTGCTGCTCATTATGGCCTGTTTATGCAGCAGGTGGATCTGAAAGGGCTCTGATGTTATTCATTGCATGATGTGATGCCAAATGAGTTGGTTCTGCTTTCATGGCAAGCTCATCAGCTGAGCACCTACTCTAAAGATACAGTACGTCTTCTGTGCAAATGAACTGTTTTGTCCATGCAATGATTTTGCAAAGGTTCCTTTTAGTTTCCAGTCCTTGGTTCACAACTCCATGTTGTAAGCAGGTTCTTGGAAGTTGCTAACTTTTGTTATAGAATAAGCTTTCCTAGAGTCTGACTAGTTCTAGCAAAAGTAAGGTTTTTATTAACAGAATTGCCTGTCAAATGCCTCCTTATGCTTTTAAAGATTCAGTTATCTTTCTAGACATGAAGAGGGAGGTTACTGTAAACCCGTGAAGGGAAGCTTTCAGGTGCTGATATCTGCTTAGTGTGTTCTTTCTCATGAAAGATCTTGTGATCACGGGCAATGGGTAGATCCCGTGCAGCTTGGTTGGTCCACTGTTTGTTAGCCCCTCAATGCATGAACTGAAAGGGTGGAAACTGGCTGCTGATTGTGTAAGAGGAAGAATTGACTTAATGATGTGCAAATTTATCATAAATACTGTCTGTGAAATAGTCATCTATTTTCTGCCTGCCTGCCAAATCCTCAAATTATGATTCTTAATTTCAGAGTAGTCTTGTAGCCCTGAGCTTGAGCAGCATTTTCTTAGACTAGCAGACGATGCCAGGTGTGTTTCCTTGTGGTTTTTTTTTCCTGCAAAGATCGGGTTTTTTTACAATAACTTCTGTTTCATGTAAGTAAACATGTTCTGGTTTATCTTTCAGGAGACAGCAGCAGAGAAAGAAGAGTCCAGCCCAGATCAGTTGTGGCACAATCTACGGACTTCAAATGTACAGAAATGTAAGAAGGAAGTTTTTAAATGTAGGATTGGAAGGGAAGTAGGATCTGAAGTAGGGCTGGAACTGGAAGGGAAATTATACTAATCTGGGCTCTGAAACATTGCTCTTGTTTGTGTGTGTGGTTTTGTTTTTTTTTTAAATACGTGGTTATCCATAGTTGTAGATTTAGTAAATTTTTCCAGGCTCTAGTGTTGTTAGGAATTGCTGTTCAAACTAATAACTGTAGGTCTTCAAGAAAGCAATTAGAAGATGCAAATAAAATCGCCCTGGCAAAGATCATATGGTGAAATCCTATAAATGCCGTACACAATGGTGTAAAGAGAAGTTAGCTGTAGGTATGGCCTTTAATTTAAGGCTATGCTCATGTCTAACCAGAGATCTGCTGATCGTAGCTGTAGTGTTGTAACTTTATGCCAGTCTTACCCTATGGATGAGTCTCAGGATTGTGCTATGACAACGCTCTTTTCAAATATTAATACAGTTTTTAATTAAAAAGTGGTGGTCCCCAAATCTGTCTCAAACTGCTCTTTCAGCACACTTGTTTTCTAAGCTTTACCCTCTTGGCTTTCTGAAATTCAAGACACTTTCTCCACTGTAGCAGAAACCCAGGATTACTCCTGCACAGTTCGAAACCCTGGAAAAGAGGAGATGTTCAACATGGATGTTGCCTACTCAGAGCAAGCGGCTGTCCTGCTCAAGGGATCATTCCTGTCTGAATCTAGAAGATTGAAGGATGGAAATGCCCTAACTGTAAGCACTGAAGGAATTTTTCCTGTTAGAATTCATTAGCTCCCCTCTAGTGTAGAGGGGTACGAGACATTTGATTCAACTGTACGATCAGCTCTTGGAAGTGTCCTTTATGCATAGTGTTGGAACAGGTCTATATTAGATAGGTGTTTTTGGACAGGTAATGCAGTTACATTTGTAGTGTTGAGCAAGGAAAACTGTTGTGTAGTGAAGGGTCAAGAGAAGTAGCACTTGTTTGTGAAACTAGCTATTTTGATTTGAATCTGGCTCATTTCCACTGAAAAGAGGAGAATAACTGGATTTTCTTACTTGTAATGCTAACAGTTTTCTCCCTCTCAAATGTACTGGTCTGCTTCCAAAGTTCAAGTAGATTAGGGTGGGTATCAGGGAGTCTTTCATTTAGGTACATTGAGATCTCCAATACAGTTAAAGAGCAATGCTGAAAAGGGAAAATATTTATTCAGCTGTGGGTTGAGTAGAAGTAGGAGTAGTTTGGGGCATTTCTCTGGTGTTGAAAACAAGAATGAATAGATGCCTGGTTATGGTAAGGAATGATAAAAATGCAGCAAAACTTGATACCAGTGGGATTAGTAATGATACTTGCACTGAACCTTGTGTGTGTGTTTTACCTTAGAAATTTAAGATCCCCAAGGGCAGGCTAGGAGTGACCAGGATTGGAGATCTATCCGCTCAGGACATGAAGAAGATCCCCACGCTGGCCCTTATTGAACTAACAGCTCTCTGTGATGTTCTGGGCTTTGAGCTGAAGAGAAACAAGGCAGCAAAACTGAAAACAACAGGTTAGTTGTATTTTGTCTTGTGTTTTGGTGGGTTTTTTGAGGTGCATTTTTTTACGTTGATCTTCTCATAAGTTCATGTTTGAAATGTTAGAACAGAGAGGGTCTTTGATACAAAACCTTGTGACAAGTGTTTTTCCCTTGGTCAGAATTTCTCCTGGAAGTCACTGGATCATAACATTAAGACCTAGCACCACGTTTATCTCTGACTGTCAAACGCACTTGTCCTATTAACTGTTCCTGTCTTTTTCTCATGTACCTACACTTATAAAATATTCCCTCTTAGTCAGTAGTGGTGGACATACCATTGACATCTATATTAGTGGAGATACAGACTTATAACATGTTGTTTCTGTTGTAGAGAAAAGACTCTTTGGAGTTCCACTCAACACTCTGTTGGAAAATGACCAAAAACTGCTCCCCAACACCAAGGTCCCTCTGTTACTCCAGGCAGTAAGTTCTCTTCTGACTTCATTTGCACCTCTGATTCTCAGTGTCAGGAAGCCTGTGGTAAGGGAGGGCTGACTTCTTGTCCTCTGTGCCTAACAACTCTCTTTTTTCCCCCCCTTTTTAATAGCTGCTGTCCTGTTTGGAAAAGAGAGGACTTGAAACAGAGGGCATTTTGAGAGTTTCTGGGTCCCAGACCAGAATCAAGGTATGAGCTCTTTAGTCGTGTTCAACAGTACTGGAGGTGATCAGGGAGCATATTGCTGAAGCAAGCATCCAAATAACCTATATTGTCTCATTTCCCCTCCCAGTACGACTAGAAACATCTATTGCTGGGAAATCTGGGAGTGTCTGCTGTGAGAGTCTCTGTGCTCTTTTAACTTGATGGGTTGCCCTCCTAGTGCTCAGCTACAGAATTTCCTTTGTATTTGCTTATTAAAGTGTGTAATAAATTCCATCTTTTTTTATAGAGTCTGGAACAGAAGCTAGAAAAAGACTTCTATACTGGCCTTTTCCGCTGGGATGAAGTCCACCAGAATGACGTATCTGGGCTACTGAAAAGATTCATACGAGAGCTGCCGGCCCCACTGCTGACAGCAGAGTACCTCCCTGCTTTTGCTGCTGTACAAAGTGAGTCCCTGCTTTGGCTGTTTAGCATCAGTTTGCTGGTTTGTGCTTTTCTTGCGAAGCTTTACTGGTCTTGGGCTCTCCTGTCAGGTGTGCTGGGAGCCTGTGGATTCGATGGGGATACAGAGCATGACATGAGCTATAGCCAAACTCAGTGTGCTGGGTGCTATATGTGCAGTTATGTATCAGCTTGAAAGTCGTAGTCACTGGTGCTCCACTGTCCTGGAGTCTTAAATTATGTTGTGTCGTTTGAGGCTGCAAAGTTGCTACCATGAATTAGTACAACTTGATAAATAATGACATGCAGGCTGAGCTGTGGCACCTGGCCAGGGTGCCTGGTCTTGGCTTGCCTGCAGGTAATGCAATGTTCTGCAAGTGCCTTATTTTGAGGTTTGTGCCTCAGTAGATGGTTTGAATGTGTTAAGGTAAATGTTAAAGTGCACAACTTTTTTTTTTGTACAAGAAATGGGGAATAACAGGGTCTTTTGATGCTCTTCAAGAGCATCAGAGTTGCTAGTAGACTGTGTACTCTGAGACAAATCAGCCAGTCTTCTAAAACATAGGTAGTTCACTTCACAAGGGCTGCAGGAGCTTTACTTCTGTAAAACAGGGTCTCAAATCCTAGATGACAAACACTATGGTAAGTAATTGCCTTGTTCCCTGGGGGATTCCTGTACTCAAAAAGAACAGCGTCAGGAACCTGAATCCTTTGTCCTGTTGTCACTCTTCCTCCCTAGATATTCCAGACCTGAAGCAGAGATTGCAAGCTCTAAACCTCCTGATCCTGATTCTGCCAGAGCCGAACAGAAACACTCTAAAGGTAATTACTACCTGTTCTGGATTTAACTGGAAAAACGTAATTTCATTCCACGTTTTTATTGAAGGAACTATCAGCTTTTGTAAATAACGTGCATCGTGCTATATGGTTTTATTTCACTGGCTCGAGAATGGACACCCGTGTTGGGGGGGAGCAGGCGAATCTCCAGGCTGTGCAGTGAACGTAAGCTGTAAGCACAGGCTGCCTTTTGGGTATGAACTTCAGAGCCGTAGGAATCCATGTGGTCTTGGAGCATCCTGTTTAGAAACATGCTCTTCCTCTTCAGTGTCTTAAAGCACTTCACTGTGGAGTGAAAGACGTACAGGTCTTACGTTGACCGTGAGCATGCTAAGATACAGGGAAAGAAATTCAGCCTTTTGATTCATGGTTTGTGGTGTTGTCATCTATGAAAGATCATTTCAATTGAAAAACAAAAACATAAAAAAAGCTACTGAGCTTCTAACTTCCTACCCTTTTCTCATCAGAAGGCATTTCAAATCCTTTCACCTACGACTTTTTTTAAAGAATAAATGGTGATGCATCAGCTTTGCAGGCAGTGTGCTACCTCTGCCTCTCTCTGCTTTGTAAGAACTGTGGTGGTTGTAGCTGCTGCTTTTTTTTAGCTCCTGAGTAGTTCAGTTTCAAGGTGATAAAGGCAAGGCTCACTTAGCACCTTGCAAACTTTGTTTAGAGTGCAGGAATACAAAACCAGGCAAAGATGATCTGTCACACATCATGGCTTTGAGAGAGGCGTGAGGCAGAAGATATCATCCAAAGGGTTTATTTTTCTACATCTGGGAATAGCTTTGAGGGGATACTGGAGGAAGGAAGGGATCATCTTTGGGTTCTGTAACTTTTATGACTGGACTTCATAAATTGCCACTGGCCAAGGGGTAAGAGCTCATCTGCTTCCCACACAGACTGTCTCTCCTGATTCATGAATGCTGGACAAACTCCCTCTCTCTGCTTGGTATGGTTCTTTGTTGCTCCCCTAGTATTAGAAATTGATCACTGAACTTCCTAACAGGAGAAACAGGATTTGCTTGTGCATATCAAGAAAAAATGCTAATTAAATGATCTCTCTAGCAATTGCCACAGTAGTTGCTTGAGGACTAATGGGTGTCTCAAGTCTCTTCTCCTCTCTTTAGGCTCTGCTTGAATTTCTCAGCAAAGTAATTTCCAGGGAGAACAAAAACAAAATGAACCTCTGGAACGTCTCCACAGTCATGGCCCCAAACCTCTTCATGCACAAGGGGCTGCCAAACAAGATCCCTGAAGGGAAGGAGAAACAGCTGGCAGAGGGGGCGGCTGACGTGGTGCGGATGATGATCCATTACCAGGAGTTGCTCTGGACAGTAAGTTGTGCAGGTGTCTCGTGGTGTGGTGTAGCAGTGTCTTAGTCTGCCTAGAATTGGCATAGGGGAAGGGACAGTCTTGGAAATTTCAGAGGAGTTAAATGTCTGTAGGCAAAACCTCTGGTGAGTTCCAAGACGACCTGTTTTCAAGGTATGGGGGGATATTTTTGTCTATTCAAGGAGCTTCATGAAGCGATGTTTAGGTTCTTAAATGGTGTCCTAATCTCTGCTTGATTTAATTCCTATCTTCTTCTTTCTTCCCTTCCCAGGTCTCCTCTTTTCTGGTAGCTCAAGTGAGAAAATTGAACGAGAGCAATAGCAGAAGGTACCAGTTTTGTGACAAGCGAATTAAAAACTTGTTGCGAAAGATTCATGCTGATAAAGACAAAGTGGAAAAGAACCAGGCAGAGGTGAGTTAGGGCTTGGAAAAACTGGGCGTTTTCATAAGTGTCAAATACTTTCTCACTGTGAGCGCTTTCATGAGAAGTTGGAAAACTGCAAGGAGTGATGCTCTTTACAGAGCAAGAGGGAGAAAATTCTGCAGAACCATGAGAAACAGCTTCCCAGACGCATCTGGCCGGGTTGTGACAAACACTGATCCCAACAGCAAGTATCCTAAATAAATTTCAGCCTACAAAACACTTGGTTAAGATGCTGCAGTGTTGCAGGAGAAGGGGGAAGAGCCCAGAAGCAGAAATGCAGATCTCTACCTCATGTGAGATGCAGATTTCACATGGCTCTAGATGCCCCGTGTGTTGAGACAGATAATGCCTGTTGTGATAAAGGCAGACTTATTTTCATGAACCTAAAGCAGAAATTTAGGCTATTACAGTAGTGTAAAAATACATTTTTGTATCTCATTTTCTTTTTGCTCCATAATGCTGATCTGTACAAGAGGGTTTGAGGACGAGGTTCTTGCCGCTTAAAAGGAGAGAGTTAACGTCCCTGATAAATGAAATGGCTCTACTCCTTCTTGTGTTGGTGCAGGCTGAGATACTTTTTAAACATATGTCACTATCATATCTATTAGTGTATTAAAATAGGGAAAAGATCCTTGGAGTCAATCTGTCTTTTTATTGGTTGCCACCATCAGTTGAATAATGGTAGGTCTGTGGCAGCTGAGTTGCATCATGCAGTGCTGGATTTTAAGTGTTGTTCTGAACAAGTCGGGATAGCGAGATGAAGTCCGCTTAAAATTTGGCTTGTTATGGCTGCGTGTCACTGCTGAAGGTGCTCTCGTTTCAGAGAGAGCAACTACTGTTTAGGCAGTCAAACAGATGACCCGATGCTCAGAGCAGTGCTGATGCTGCTTCCTAATGGTCTCGGTGTTCAGCGCTGTTTTTGCAAAAGATTTGGGATTGCAAAATTAACTTGCTGCAGATCAGATTCTGTTAGAACAGCTCAATGTTCTCTACAAAAGTTCTGAGAAGTTACTTCATGAAGGAGTTGAAGAAAACAGTCTTGAGAAAAAAGCATTTGGACTCTGTTGTGTCTCAGCACTTCCTTTTTTTGAAACTTCCTTTCTGAAATCCAATAGTCTGCAATTCAACCGCCTAAACTCCTTTTCCAGTGGTTGAAATTAATTCCAGAGCAGTCTATCAGACTTGGGCAAAACAATTCAGCAAAATTTATTCTGACACATCCTATTTTCATCAAAGCTTGTGTTGCTTCTAGTGCCAGTGCTGTGTTTGGACAGCAGAGAGCACCAGCGCACGCTGGTGGAGAGCCGTGCTTTCTCCCCAGCCACACCACCGAAGCACCGATGATTTGTTTATAATGGTTCCCTTGGTGCTTCCATAGGCTTCCAGTCTGTGGTATGTGTGGGATGTGAAACGAACCTCAGTTCTCTGAACAGGTGGCTGGATAGGTTTATGTCTTCACGCTCACTGATCTGTTTTGAAACTCGATGTTTTAGCTGATAACAAAGTCTTTCTTTAAGCACTTTCTTCTCTTTGCCTGCCTTGTTCAGCCTTCCAAGATTGTGAAAGTCCACGCTTCGCTTCTCCTGAAGGATTCACTAGAGGTGCATCTGAACAATGCAACCCGAGTTGCTGATGTCTTGAGGCAGTTTCAAAAGAACCTGTGCCAGAACGGCTGGAATATTGTTAACACTGTCAGCCTCCTCAAGTGGTAAATGGCTTTTCCTCTGCTTTAAAAAAAAAAAAAAAAAAAAAGTACTGGATGGTCTAGTTGCTGTCTTCTGTCTTCTGGCAGAGCTGATGTGGTGGCACAGCAAGCTGTTAGGAGACTGTTCTCTGCTCCTCTATTCTGAGTTTTGGAAATAGTGTGTTGGATGGGGCAGGCAAATATTAGTTCAACTGAGGGATTCCATCACTCTGCTCAGGAGGTCAGGTAGTCCCCGCTGGTTTGCTGGACCACATGTGAACATTAGCAGCCTTGCTGGAGGGAAGGGAAAGTGGGATAACATTGACAAACCCTTTCTAGCTCCCCTGGAGAAAAACATCACCTGTGCAAATTACTTGCCTGGAGTAGTATTTCCAACATGTGTATGTTAATATAGGGGCTTCCTAAAGAGCTCTGCAAGTCCCTCCCGTGGTCTAATGGTGAATTGCTGAAATAACTCCAAAAATGAACAAAAGGATTCCCACCCCTCTCTTGTCACCGTGCCTGCAGGCTGTGTTTAGTAGGTAAAGTGTTTGTGCATCTCCTGACCTGTCCCTGGGCAGGAGAGGCTTAGAGAAGGAGGGTGGATGGGAAGTTGGCTGAATATGGCTCAGCTGGGAACTAGTATCTCACTAACAAGCTGCTACAGTTGGTGAAGTCTTCCTGCAGATGAGCTTCTCTTGAACAGGCTGTCAGTTCCAGAGGAACAGTGCCAATGAACTTTGGTATTTATGCCTGTTGTCTTCCTACTGGAAAGTTAATGTTTGCACACAGCATGCTTCTTGCTACCAGTGAGGAATATCTGCCTTTTTTCCAATTCTGGGTGTCCTTTTCAACAGCTGCACTGTTCAGGAGGATCAGCAAGGTCTCTGTACCGTGGCCTGTAGCTTTCTTGATCATTGCTGACCCCTGAACCATAAGCAATTTTTGGGAAGAAACATTACTAAACTACGTAACTTGCCTTTTGCAGAGCTTTCTTAACTTCAGTGTGTTGTTCTTTCTGCAGTAACAACTCAATGGAGTGCACAAACTTGCTCCTGTATGAAGTGGGAGGCAATATTGGTAAGTCTGGGTGGTAACTGAAAATAAGGACTCTGATATCCAGTTTTTTATGTTTAACTTGTGTTAGGGGGAAGTTAAAAGAAGGATGAGATTTGGAGGGGCCTCCAAAAGTTAAAAGATAAATGAACAAGTGTGGGTTAACCTCACCCACAGCAAAGAGCACCTCTCAAAGCTCATGTGTCTTCTAGCCATCACTGCAAAGCCTTTACAGTACAAGTATGTGGGAAGGTTGAAGCCTGGACTCCCAAAATACTTACCAGTAATGGATCTTATTCAGAAGCTGCCTGTCAAGAAAGGTGGAAACTCAAGAATCCAAAATCTTGAGGTCCGAGACATGCACAACTTTGTCCATCTTAAAAACAATCAAATCTTCCATTCTGGTAAACGTACCATGTTAAACTCCCTCTTCCCTCAGCGATAAAAGTTCATGTTGGGAATTAAGTGTAGAACTCAAAACCATACACTGCATTCATCTAAGTAAAGGGTAGCTTCATCCTATGCCACTGTGGGCTTTTAATTGTGTGCTTCTTATCCGGGCTTTAATTAAGTGAGGTATGCTGCCACATGGCATCTGTGCTAATGATGGCCAGCTCCAGGTGTGAATTCTATCTGCCTTCATCAACTTTCTGACTACAACTTTCCCAGATCTGTGGAAACACTTCTGAATGGTTGTGATATTGAAGTTAATGTGAACAAATACCAGGTTTTAGGGGGAAAAAAAAACAACCAACCTAGCAACTGTAGGACTGAGGATATAAGAAATGCTTTTTTTCTGAACCTCTTTTGGTAGGTGAACATTGCCTGGACCCAGACGCTTACCTCTTAGACTTGTACCACATCAATCCCCATGCTGAGTGGATAATTAAGCAAAACCCATCTTATCCTCGGATGTTCTAAGGAAAGCGTGAGCAAAACAAAGTATTTGATGGAAGCTTTTGGAAGGCATGGAAAAGCTATAGAGATGTTCCTGATATAGTCACAGACTGGACAATGCTTGTGTCTTTGAGGGAAAAGCAGCTTTATTTACTACTTCCATGACAGCTGACTGTGAGAGTACACAAGCCTACGTGCTAACAGGGGCGTTGGTAACAAGCAGCAATTATCATTATGTAGCAGAATTTGCAGGGGGTATGATTATTCTTAAAATAGCCCCCCCAAAAAAAACCCCTGAGAACAGAGCTACAGTGATCGTGCAGTAAAGATGGAACATAAGAGGAGAAACGTCTTCTTGAAGATGGTAGAAGACATCTGTTTCTTCTGGCTTTGCTCTTTGTTTTGATCACATCCACATTTTGGAGGAGAGACAGCCAAACGCTGCAGCGGTACTGATGACATCCCTTCGGTAAGATCCACTATTGACTGTCACGCACCACCAGAAGCAGTTGTGATCCTGGGTTTCACTAATAAGATGCTGTTGTTTTCCTTGAAGAATGAAAAAAAATGATTCCAAAAAGGCCAGATGGGATTTAAAGCCAACATCCTGTACTTAATGACTACAGTTAAATACATATATGCAACACAAGAAAATAACTTTTCTTGGGAAAAAGTATCGGATGGACAGCAGCCTTTCAAGTTTATGGTATGGTAGGAGATGTGCCTGTCCCATACAGCTCTGCTGGTGATGCAAAAACAAACATACAGGTTGTCATTGATGGTGGTAAACCCCACATTTATTTTGCTGGACAACCTACGTATCAACAGATAACCAAGGAAATATTCTGAAATTAACCTGAGGTTGGTAATCTGACCTGGCCACATGAACTAAACTTCTTTTTGGAAGACTCCGTGTGAACTTGTCTGTTTAAAAATGAAAAACAAAAACCCCCAAGATGTGCAGTGGCTGAAATAAGAGGTCCGTGCCTGTATCTGGTTGCACAGTGGGTACTGAATTGAGCCTTTACTGCTCTGACTGCACGTTTTCATCCCGCACAGCCCAGTGTGACCACCGTGGTCTGGAGAGACGAGGGTAGAGCAGAACGTTCACACCACTGCGTAATCGTCATACGACCTCAGCTCAAACTAGACTGCGCTTGTGGAGGGGGAGTGCAGAAGTATTGTTTTCCTTTGTGGTGATGCTGAAATACCTCACGTGAGGGAACCTACTATGCAGTTACAAGGGGTGGAACATGCACTGTTCCTGAAAATCCTGACGTAGTCTTTTATATACTGTTTTTAAACACTGTTGGATATTTATTCATGTGGCAGAAGCAGGGCTGCTCTGCAAGTGTATACTCAAAAGTATTTCATTTGCCAAATCCTAGCTTCACAAGTGACAATCTCCAGTATTATTTCTGTTCTTAAATGAATTTCTTTCCATTGCAGTCTGAACTTTCCCTCCTCTGCCTTTTTCCCCAGGCTGGTGTGTAGATACCCATATTCATTATCTCAAAGTTCTAGTTTCTATTGTAAGGGCACTTCATTCTGTGGTTTGTCTGTTTGTGTGGCTGTATTCTCTTGGTGGTTAAGATCCTTGAGGAAGAGGTGAGCTGTAGTCCATATTCTTTCTAACCTGTTGTGGATACGATGTGAGTGGTGCTGATGTCTTGAAATGATACATATATTAGAGAGTCTGTCTACTTTTTTTGGCTGAGACAATGCAAGTGCACTGACTGGTGGGATCATCTTCATAGATGTCTCGTTAAGAACCTGTAATAGAAACTTGCAAAAAAACCACCTCCCAAACCTAACCCAGAACCCCAATGTTAAGACTTCTTGAGGTGCCTCTGTTTTATAGGGCTTAAATTGTGCCTGAAAGGGCCTGGTTCCTGCCCTTGAGGATGGGCGATTTGCGTTTCTTGAAAGATCAAGCTGCTTTAAAATCGGGCATTAAAAAGCGATGGTACCTGTTCAGCCATTTCTGGAAGTCTTTGTTGCAGTGATGGAGCTTAGCAAAGAGCAAATGTGAAAGATGTGATACTCTGAGGAACACCAAACACATAAAGGTACCAGTGTAAGCTCAAAGATCCTCTGTAAGCTAAATTGCATCCCTGCAAATCTCATAACACTGCTTTTTTTCCCACCCCTCATATACCGGATATTTTATTAAACATACTGGTGTCCATACATATGAGGGGGAGACACTACATCGCTGCTTCTGTAAACAACAGGTGAGTGGATTTTTTTTGAACACCAAACAATGTGAATCAGTGCTGTGAAAAACAGGCTTGGTGGGAGATTCTCATGAGACAAATAGCAGTTCTCAAATATGAAAGGAAATGTAAAAAAAAAAAAAATCCAACCAAACAAAACAGCCTAAACAAACAAAAAAAAACCCAAACAACCTCTCCATCTCTTTCCAGATATGGGATATGCTTTTTTTAATGCTTTTTTATTTTTCTTTCCTATCTTTGTACGAAAAAGTAGGTATGAGTTTTTCAGTCACTGATGTGCAACCTACTTCTGAATGCTGGCTTTTAATAGCATTTTTTTACAAATTTTTAATTCTGTATTTAAAATTCATTTATGCTACAAAACAATAAAAATATAGTAAAATCTCTTTGACTCCAGTTTCATTAATGGCTGAGAAAAAGTTAGCATGGTAAATGGCACCATGCCTGTGAATGCCAGCAGGATTTGCCTTAGGCCTGATGAGGAATATACCTGGGGTCCAAGTGAACTTGACAAGTGTTTTAGCTTCAGAAGTTCCTCTTCAGATGATCCTGTGGGGTAGCTGCAAAAGAACGATCCAGGAGGAGGAAGAGGAGGTCAGGGTTGGGTATAGAAAGCCCAGAGAAAGGTTGGCAGGAGGCTGAAGGTCTGTTTGTGAGCACCAAGGAGTAGTGACTTCTGAAGGAAGAACAACTGTTGTTAAAGCTTTAAGCTCGAGGAAGAATGTCTGCACCCCATGAGAAGACCCCTTCCCACTCCCTCAGTCCCTTCTCAGTGGTGTACGTGCTGGGAGGACTCACCAAGTTGGCCAAGAATAATAGGAGTCCAGTCTGAATCTCTGGTTAAATTATGACTAATATTTTGGTGCTCAATAGTTGGTGATGAAATGTGGCATAGACCCACTGCTATTTGTTTAAAAACAGTGACAGCAGCAGCCTGTCCAGTGTTGCTGGTAGAAAAGCAGGGCTTGCTATATCCTATCCCGAAACAAAAGGAAAAGGAGGAGGATCCAAGCGGCTTTAGAAAGCTTTCAGAGCAATTATCTGAGGAAAACACCAGCTTATCAAACTCATTTCACCCATTCATCTTCAGTAGTATCAAAGTGCTAATCTCTGCCGTCCCCAAGGGCGGTTTTTGATTGATCATTGCACAGCTCTCTGCCCTGCTCGGAACAAAAGCCCCGTATTTATTCTGTATGCAACTTAGGTGTGCGGAGATAATGGGACACAGCATAAAAAAATCGTGCAAATGCTGGTTGAACATCTTTGTGGATGAAGTGGAACTGAAATACATTAAAAAAAGAAGTAGTAATTTGCTTGAGGGAAAAAATATTGGCAGAAATACAGGGTCTTCACAGGAACAAATGAAACTTCAACTCTTGGAAGGAAATGCCAAAGGAAAACAGCTAAATGCACTTCCTGGAGCAAAGTAAGTAAATGACAGCAAATACTGTTGTATTTGATTCAATCTATTTCTTTTGCTAGTGCTCTCCCCAGTGTTAAAATAAGACAAATGACATCTGTGATTTTGCATGCTGAGAGAATGAAACTTTAAAGTTCTCCAAAATCCTGTCTGATCTTGATTACACCTGGGGGTTGCATATGTCTGGAACAAACACCTGTTTGTGGTGGAACAAACAGGAGGCCCCAGTTCAATAAGTTATTAGAAAAGAAAACTCGCAGCTGCACTGAGTGATCAGCCAGGAAATGTCATGGCAGGATCACTTCCTATAGTCTTCTCTGGCCGTCTCTGCTCCCTACAAACTCATGCTTGCACACGTTTTTTTTTTGTTGTAGTGACAAACACCTCTTTTCTCGAAGCAGCTTTGCGTTGGCTGTCCTGTCCCAGTCCGTTGTTGTCCAGGAGAAGGCAGGTGACCTCACCTGCCAAGGTGCTTCTCCCCAGGACCTGGACCTGGCAGGATCCACTGAGCTCAAGGGGTTAAAACTTTTTTCCCCACACTATGTTCTGTTATCTGGCTCTGTCCACAGGCTGCTCTAAAGAACCAGATCAGGGGAGGAAATCCCTTTTGTCCTCAGTCCTTGGAAGGGAACGTGAAGTGGTGATTTTTTTCACCTATCTGACTATCTTGGCTGACCCTACTTGCCTGGCTGGTAAAGTTGAAGGAGTAAATAACTATGGGATAAAGGAGGAAAAGAGGAAGAAAAACAACAGAAATGGAAGATGTAGGTGTACCCAAGGGGGTTGTTTGGTTTTTTCTTTGTTTTGCAGGGTTTGGAAGAGATGCAGATTCATGTGAGCTCTGCTGTCCTTGCTCATCCCAAACCTTGTTCTTGGCAGGCTGCAGTAGAAACCTGTTCCAGTGGTTCCCCATCCTTTGTAGGCTGAAAACCAAAGGCTGGTTTCCCTTACCTTCAGCTTTTGCTCCTCTGCCCTTTCCGTGCCGGTGGTGGGAGCCGTCAGCACTGAACATACTTCATGTTGGTCCACACGAGTGGATGGATGCTCCGAGCTGTGCATGGACGGCTTGTGACTTGTGTTGAAATGGAATCTCTGGAGCCTTACCTAGAGTTTTAAAAGGCTTGAGGAGCGCAGTTCTACGTAACCCACCTGTGTTACCTCCTCTCAGCTCTTTGCATGTGCCCAGTCAGTGTAGGGCGAGAAAGTTGCTTTTCTTTGTGCTGATGACTCTGTAGTAAGCCTTCTCCGGACACAAGAGGCAGTCACAAAGTGGAATAATTGCCTTTTCCTTATAACAAACCAGCAGAGCTGGCTCCAGGTTTCAAGAGAGACAATTAAAGATGCTGCATTGTTTTCTTCAAAAAGAGAAATAGACCTGGGGGTTCCCTAATAGCCCTCCAGATTTTCTGCACTGCGCTCTTGGAGCACGTTGTTGTGGGTTGCATT